AGCTTTCAAAACATCGTCTCTAAAGGAATCCTCAAATTTGAGGAAGGATGCGCCCTTGGACTCTAGACAGTCCTCTCTTGTCACCAAGTTCTTTGCAGGGTCAATGAGGCGGTAGTTATAGCTGATTTTAATATTCTTTAAGTACGATGTTTTTTCGGTTCTCAAGTCCCTGCGATNGTAGGTAAGGTCACCATCCACACCTATTTCTTGTGAAGTAATGGTATCTCCGAAAAAGGGAAAGGGTGAATTGAGAAATAGCCTTTGTGATCGCATGAGTTAAACCGTATGAATCAGATTCAGACAAGCTTAGCACTTTAAGACCGAATCGTACAAATTTGTACGATCTGATATGGCCCACAGTCATTTGACCAGCAGTTTCCTCAAACTTAGTTTTCAGACCCCTTTCTTTGCAACGCTTAGTGGATTGTTTTGTTCGCCATTTTGAGTTGTTTTGAACCAGTTTCTGCGACATTTTCGATTTGTTAGAGCAAGAGTAAGCTTAATTTTTGTTCTGCAACATGTCTAAGCATAGGACACGTTATAATTTGAAAGATTTTTTTATTATTTTGGATGGAAACTTCGAGATACCCGATCGTGGCGTGTTTCGGATATCGAAGGCTTTGATATGAACACCGAAGAAGATAGCAAGGATGGAGTAATGAAATTTTTTCAAACCAGGGAGAAGAAGAAGAGGAAAAACTCAGTCTTCGGGACATACACATTGATGATTCAACAGTGATTAAGATTTTTTTCATCCTGGAAGGCCACAAAACATTTGTTTGGATGTTTATGTTTAGCTCCTGGAAGAAAGCGATCGAGAAGTTTTCACTTTCAATTAATAAGGTTGGGCCTACAAAGGTGTAACACCCAACCATGCTGTATTTTGTGGAGAGAATATAACCTTGATAGTATCAAAGGTAGGCAAATGTGGTATGAAAATAATCCTCAGTAAATTTGCTTTAGATTTAGAATCCAGCGGTAATTTTCATGACCAAATTGGAAGGTCAGTACACTGAAAACAATTAAGGTGAACTTGTTGTGTGAAATGAACTTGATATTTAACAACCTGTTAATGATTATTTATTAGTTACTTATCAATAAAAAGTGGCTTGGCAGATAGCCCAAAGTCTTTTCTACCAGATATCCAAAGTTTATGTTGATACCTTAAATTTCAAAGAAGATTCAGTGTATTTAACAATACCAGCCTTAGATCTTAAAATGCACAAAAAATAAATTCAGGTCTTAAAGGGTTAGTACATGAAATGACCAGCGATAGGTATCTGCTGCGCTTACTATGTGTATGCAATGGCGCCAGCTACTTTCATGGGAAACAAAAGACGTAGTTCAGGGATCTGGTCTGAAAGAGAGAAAAGGAAACTGAGAAAGCACCTTAAAGGTGACCGCACTACCCTTAAAAATTCTAAGCCATTTAATGTAATCCTTATGTTTACCATTAAAAGTTTCCTCGTGATTGGTCGCACTCTTAAAGCGTTTTAGAGCTGTATGTGTAAAGAGAAAAGAGATTGTTATTCTAGTTTAGGATGTGAAAGACTCATGATCGCTCGATTTCTCGAACATGTCTTTTAACAAATGGAATAACTTATTTACCTTCACTGGCCTCCCCTATTGTTGCTTTCAACACCTCGTCTGGAAAGGAATCCTCAAATTTGAGGAACGATGAGGCGTCGTATTCAAGGCAGTCCTCTCTTGTAACCAAGTTTCAGGAAGGCTGAATGAGTCGATAATTGTAGCTCGTTTTAATATTCTTTAAGAACGAGGTCTTGTCATTTCGCAGGTCCCTGCGATGACAATAGCACAACAAGAGAAATTAAATTACACAATATTTTCGTTTCCGGAAAGAAATGACATAAGCCCCCATCTCACAGTCTTATCACATTGGGGCTATAATCAAACCACGTTATCATGGACACTGCAGGTCCACAGAAAGTGTCAGTATTAACGAGGCATCCACATTAAACCAAGGTTGAATTGAGGGAAAATCAACGAGTGTCTGTAAACTGAGGTGTGATTTTATCTTCAAATCTATTTTCTATTTCTGTTTCATTCTGCGTTAACCCCTCTTTTTAGCAGTAAGCTCAGTAATTTATGTTTGCCGGCTTTGGATTTTAAATAATCCTGGAAATGATGAGATGAAACTATAAGTTTACGAAGGCTGAGCTAGGAACTGTCGAAAAGGTTTAGTGATCACTCTAAAGCCCCTGCGCTTCTGAATAGCACCACAAGAAAATTACAGTTATACATTCCATGTTCGATTACGAGCTTGTGGGAGCTGCTACGTCTTACATGGTGATTGATTTGATTGATTTGATCTTCGATGAAGTGCCAGAGGATAGATGACCTGAGCACTTTTTTCTCAGTCGCTTCACATTGGGCTCTTTCGACAAGCCGTAGAGGTCTCACTTGCACCAAGACAAGGAAGAAAGTGGAAAAAAATGCACCACCATCTTGTTGACCAATCAGCGAGCACGACTCAAGTAACTTAATGAATCGTGTACTTGCCCTTCTTCATACTAAACTGGCACGTATAAGCGATTTAATTATATACCCCGTATACATGCTTTTACCTGTAGATGAAGGCACTTGAGTCTAAGTGCCTCTCCATTACTTCTTTGATATATAGGGCCCATGTGTCCCCCTTTTCGCTCCACCCTTGGAGGCGACACAGGGTGGAGATTGCTTCCCGCGGGAAGACCCCATTGTTTTGCACCATTTGATTTATTATAAACGTAGTGGCAAATCCCTGAAAAGAATAAAGGAAAATCGTAACCAGTTTTTAAGAGGCAAGTTTCCTTTTCCAGATAGTCCTCGGCGAGCAGGTTTTTCGTCCATCAAAACATACCAGAGGCTCCTCTTCCACGAAAACTATTTT